ATCAACCAGGAACAGGCTGACCAGGAACAGGCTGTCACACAAAGCTGCCAGGAAGCCACAGCTGTCACCACAGGCGCCCAGACCGATTCCCTTCAAGCTGACACTGGCAGCATCAACCAGGAACAGGCTGTCACACAAAGCTGCCAGGAAGCCACAGCTGTCACCACAGGCGCCCAGACCGAATCCCTTCAAGCTGACACTGACAGCATCAACCAGGAACAGGCTGACCAGGAACAGGCTGTCACACAAAGCTGCCAGGAAGCCACAGCTGTCACCACAGGCGCCCAGACCGATTCCCTTCAAGCTGACACTGGCAGCATCAACCAGGAACAGGCTGTCACACAAAGCTGCCAGGAAGCCACAGCTGTCACCACAGGCGTCCAGACCGAATCCCTTCAAGCTGACACTGGCAGCATCAACCAGGAACAGGCTGACACCAAAGGAGTTGATGGAGTCTGGGTCCTCCCTAAGGCCACTGTCGCTGTTGATACTGATGGCAAAGACTGCACTGAGAATACTTTCTTCTTAGATGCCGCTCGTCAACCACGTTTGTCCTAGGATCATGACATTAATGATGCTGGCCTGCTGGTGCTGATTTGTACAAAGCCGTGAAGATCCGGAGTAGAAGAGCGTAGACTGATGCTCATGGTAGCAATCACTGGATTGTCTGGTCCAGACTCGATTATTTACAGACCGCCGTTATATATTTGGAATATTGCTGTGTGCGACGTTAAACAACAAACAAACAAATAAACTTTGCCCAAATGAATTGTATTTATGTTGTCATCATATGATGTGATGAAAACTGTGCCAACGTGTCATGAAAAACCTTTAAAGAGTTTATTATTCTTTTTTAGTTTTGGCCCATTTGCTCTATAGTTTGCTGTGCAGAGTTATATTTCCTAGTTGTGCCGGGATACGCTGATCTTGAGTTCGAATGTCAACTTCGCGCTGATAATAATCCTTGGTATAAATAATACAACTTCATTGTATTAGTTGTTATGTGAAACAGATGATGTCAGGATATAAGCTCAATTAAACCGTTGCAATAATATGTTCAAATTAACTCTTTATTAAGTGTGCATATTTTTCCATTTTCGGTTTCCTCTCTGATTGGCGCCCATTTTGATGTATCCACTCGTTTTGCTGATGTAGCTGGGATCGTAAGAATGTCGTGTTGTCATGTTTGTATACTATGCACCATGTTGTAAATGTATTAATGTATTCTCATTTCATGAACACCTGGCCCTGTTTATAAAGAAAATTTCGTGCTCAACTCAGTTTCATCCTCAAATTCAAGCTCATGCGCGCTCAAGTTCGTTGAAATTTGTACTCAAGCAGAGGTTATAAAACATATTGAGACTGTACTCAGCTGAGAACAACTCACACTCGACTTGAGCATGCTGAAAGGACTCTTTGTTTTTGAAAGAAGCTGCAATTTGGAACTCTTCCGTCGAGAAAGGAAAGAAAACAACCCGAATGGTGTCGTCTGCTTATTTACAATGACAACGGAGGGCGTGTCCGAGTCAAGAAGGCGGGGTAAGGTGTGGTCAGATGCGGTGGAAGTGTGTCTTACGGAGCTACAGATAAGTAGCGTATTTGTATTACCACGGTGTGTATGAGCACGGTCCAAAGCGTACCTGAGATCGGACGTATTTCATGCTCAAGTTGAGCACGAAAACGTACTCAGATTATTTATAACCTCCGTTTATTGAGTCTGAGTTTTGAGTTGAGCACGAAACCGGATTTTCGATTTTTTCGAAACCCGGAAGTTTTATAACCTCGGGGCCTGGTGTCATAACTGATTTCAGTGATACATTCATGCATTTTTTATATTTTGCCTTTAACGTCTCGGTAGATAATTGATATTACTCTGTGGTGTTGACGTTTCGTTCTCTGCATATCTGACATAGCTGAGGCTTGTGGATACTAATGGCTAAAAGTTACTGGTTATACGTCATTTTTATATGCAGCCCTTCAATCATACCATAGGAGGATATGGTGTCGCTATGCCGAGGAGTTGCGTCCCTTAGACTCACAAGAAATCTATGATCATGGGTTCGAATCCCGGTTCGCCCCGATTATGTTTCTAGGCTTGTCAGCACCTGTCCCGTACTCGTGGGTTTCACCAAAGTCGTAAACGTCTGAAACCTGCATTGCTTCGGGCTCTCTTCCCATATCAAGCTGACACGCTGTGATATAACTGAAATACTGTTCAAAGCGGCGTCAAACCGAACTAACTCATATCTCTTTTTTTCGTGATAATATTAGCACGCGAACCACGACAGAACCCAATGGGCATTGAGATTAACTCCGTCTGGAACTGTATTCCAATTGTACCGGTTTGTCAGCTTAATGTGAGAGGAAAGAACAAAATGAACGTTTACAACTTCTGTTAAACCTGCGATCAGGGGCATGGCCCAGAACAAACTTGAACTTCGAAAATCAGTTGATATTTATAAACAGTGGAGCAGGTAAAAATAATTTCCACTCATGTACAGCAGCACCAAACAGCGTAACTCACACCTTAGACAACAGTGTAAATTCCAACGCCTAATCAAATGTACAATTAAGTCATTATTCATTGAAAGTTGAAGCCAACACAAACCTTTTTTTCTAGGATACGTCTGGGCACGGGTGGCCCATTTGTCCGAAGCGCCGCAATTCGCTGTACAGAGTTGCGTCCCTTGGGCAGGCCAGAGACGTATGGTCGTAAGTTCGAATCCCGGTTCGCCCCAATTAGGTTTCTCGGTATGTCAGCACCATACCCGTGCTCGTGGGTTTCTTCAAAGTGGTAAAAGTCTAAAACCTGTATCACCTTCCTCCACATGAAGCTGACACGTCGTGATATAACTGGAGTACTGTTAAAGCGGCGTTAAACACAACTCACTCACTCGAAAACAGCAACTGGGTTGTATGCAACATACACGGATATCCCATGGTTCCACTGATTCGTTTGTTAGGGGTATACATGGAGATGGTCATTAAACAGCCAGTTCAAATCAGTTGTGTGGATTTTTTGGAGGATTCAAGAATTTATTCCTGTATTGAATGTCACGAGGCGATGTGTGGTGGGATCGTGTTTTTCGTTGTTTTTACCAATATGAGTTAGACTTGCAATGTGCTGTCCGTTTCCAAGTAAGGGTATATGATGCTTAATGGTCATTTCCCATCACAGTCAACAACTGTTATGGCCTCTTGAAATGAAAGATTTGAAAAGATTATTAATAAATAAGGGTTACAGGCATACTATCTCTCTGTCAAAGATTATGGCTTTGCTCACGAAATATTCTGTATTGACGAGGATAACCATATTGCGTCGATACTTTTTATTAAGGCCGAGTTATATTTTTTCAAGCAAAAATTTCACTCAGAAATTATATATATGGCACAAACTAACTAAAATCATGTTTAGGTTTCGATTATTTATAGGTCCGGTTAGAATGTTTCTTGGCACCCTAGGCAAGGGGGTTAACTAAAAGATTACTAAACAAATCCAATTTCGACTTTTATGGTCTGTTAACGCCCTTGCCTCAGGAAGATGTGTGCTTAGTTACGACCCTATGGGTGCCAGAAACCTTTCATTGTCGGCTCGTAGCTCAATCTCAATAAAATCAGATCTTAAATCTCGCTATCGCTAAACAAAGATCTGCGGACATCCCATTACGGGTCATATCAGAACGACCTTTCATCCGACCAATCAAAGCGTCGCTTACCAGATCATGAAAGTGACAGTCGGAATAAATTTTCTAATCATGAAACCTCGAAAACGTTAACACGGAGTATTCCGAACGACAGTTACGGCCCATACGACTGATTCCGTCAAAATGATCGTCTTTCTCTCGGTTTCGTGGGATAAACATTTGAACGGAGGAGGCACTGCTATACATTCTCAACCATATATTAGACATTCCGGAATGTTCGTTTGTTCAGTTTTCAAAATATTAATCAAGAACTGTGAACTATATTTTTCAAGCGTAGACAGAAATGGAATTTGCCAGGTTGAAACGAGTGCCGTAAAGCTCGAGAAAGCTGCTTTCTAATTGGCTGATGTCGACTTCTTGTTAGTCATTTCAGTCGTCGGTCAATGTTCGCGAAAGGTCGTCCTGACGTGACCCATAATGTGATGTCCTCAGATCTTTGTTTAGCGGCAGCGAGATTTTAGATCCTATTTCAATGAGATTAGCTCGTAGGTCAGCCTGGGTTTTTTCTTTCTAGGTTTGTCAGGACTGTACCCGTTCTTATGGGAGTCTGCATCACTTCAGGCTCACCTCCGCATAAAGCTAACACGTCCTGACATATGTTTCAAATCAGCGTTAAACCCAACGTATTCACTACCAATCTCATTAAAATCAGATCTTAGTTCTCGCTACCGCTAAACATAGATCTGAGGACATCCCATTACGGGTCACGTCAGATTGACCTTGCGCAAACTTTGACCGACCAATAGAAATTAGAAATCACATTCCGACTGTCACTTTCATAATCTGGTAAGCGATGCTCTGATTGGTCGGATGAAAGGTCGCCCTGACGTGACCCCTAATGGGATGTCCTCAGATCTTTGTTTAGCGGTAGCGAGAACGGAGGTCTGATTTTAATGAGATTGACTCACTAAATCACTCAGAACAAATTGAATTGTTGACGAGTACAAAAATCCTGATTTAAACCACACAGATCATAGTATATATATTCCTCGTCACTATATGGCTGAAACATTGCCGATGTGACGTTAAATCTTAACTCTCTCACGTATATATATTCAGCGTAGTCTGTCATAAAGCCCATGCAAATCTGCAAATCTATAATATTTGGCAAGTCTAGATTACCGCAGTATCTGATAATGAAGAGACTCTGGCCTCCTATTTCTTATATTTTTATAACTATATTTTAACAACTGTTTTAATCTGTAAAATGTGTTCATTTAAGAGACGAGATGCTAGTCTAACAATCAGCGTTATGGCCCGAACGGAGAGTCATACACAATGACCGGTTAGGGTTCAATAAATAGGAACAGCCACCACGCTATCAGGTGTGGATGTCACCAGAAAAATAAGAGGACAAGCGGCATGCCAGTCGATGACTGACGTGAAGTCTGGATAGAACAACTGATTGATCTCATTTGCTGCCTACAAGCCAAGGATGTAAAAGTATAGTATACAGGTTTCAGTCAATGTCTTGAACTTGGGCCGGGAAAGTATCCGTTCTCATGTGATGGAACCATGTGTGTGAATATCAAAGGAATATGGGCGGTCACGTCAGGCGATTTCAGACAACAGGAACTCGGCTTGGAGTTTGTAAATAATAATAGGTACACCCTATATACAAGTAGAGAAAAGGAGCGTCACTCGCCGGGTTTGATGACATCGCTATCCAGGTCGATGTTTTGTTATGATACGCTTATTGTCAAACCAGAGATAATCTGGCCGTAGATTGATAAGCAACATTTGTACAAGTCATCTAAATTCAATTAATGTCCCTTCTTTGCTGAAATATCGATAGTTTTTTTCGCGAACTGGAAAATAAATGTAACAGCGCTACGTTTATCGAGAGGTATGCCTGAAGAGTCGCGTCCCTGGCAAGAGGTATACCACTCGATAAACGTAGCGCTGTGGCCTGGTCTGGGAAAGGGATGTATACTGACGCGACCATGTCACAATAGGTGAGCGGAAGAAGATTCGGCCACGAGCCACCTGATTGGTTGAAAATATTCAGTGCTCTAATTAAACAAATTGGCGCGAAATTTGAAGACGGTTATTTTGAGCACTACAGCTTTCTTTTTCGAAATGTACATGTAGAATCTAATAGCACAGAAACTCGTTATTGGCTAGTAAAGTAAAAACAATATATATCCCTATATTAATATAATAGGACCATAATTCCTAGATATTGTTTGTGCTTGACCACATGAGGAATACTGACTGGTTATTCTATGTTTTGACATTAAATGTTATTAATGCAGAAGTGATAAATTTATTTGAAAAAAAAAATAAGGATGACGTTGGTACTTGTTGTTACCCTCGCTCGGCATTAAGGGGCTAAAAACAAGGACTGGTCGGCTCGGAGTCAGTATACTGTGTCTGCGTGGGGTGTCCATGTTAAACTGCGGCATGGTATCTCAGTGGGTTAGCACTATAAATCGGCATCAGTCCGGACTAGCACACACACACACTGTCTGTTTTGAAGTATCTCCCCGATCAGTGGTCTCAACATAGTTACACGCACACAAGCACGCACGCATGCACGCATGCACGCACGCACGCACGCACGCACGCACGCACGCAAGCGCGCGCAATTGGGATCGATGATATGCATCAACCAAGTCAGCGAGCCTGACCACGCGATCCCGTTTGTCGCCTCTTACGACAAGCATTGTCGCCTTTTACGGCAAGTATGGGTTGTTGAAGACCTATTCTAGCTCGGATCTTCACGGGTCCGGCCCGTGTACTAACATACACACGCACATGTCGTATGCACGTCGCTATGTAAGTGCAGTATACAATCTTGAACGCGACGTTTAACTCCACTTCACTTCACCTAATGTTATTTCATCATCGCAATTACACATCTTGATAAGAGTAACTCTGTCTTCCTTTCAGTCACGTGACCAAACCTACGGAATAGAGATGGCATGTCATTCAATCCGTGCATATACAAGCCCAGTACGACGTCTTCATGTCATCGGCAGAGCTCTGTCATCACACACCTCCTCCCCTACTCTGCTAGTGGAACCGTCCGATGCTTTGATAGATGAGCCTTTGACTATCAGAGTATCAGGCCTAAAGCTTCATCAGAAGATCACACTTTCTGCTTTTCTGAGGGCTGAGGGGAAGGAGTTTGTGTCCTGCGCACACTACACAGCTGATGATGCTGGTTGCGTGGATACTGCTGTCCACTCAAGTGGAGGGGGGTCCTTTTACGGTGGGTTTTACGGTATATGATATATGTTCAACGATTGTTTTCCATTGTAAATATTCACTTCTTCTTAAACTCAACATTCTTAATAGATACCCTGACCCCTGAAATTCTATTGAAATAAGTCTGTTGCCCAGGAGAGAGCGAAGCATTCGGTGCAGCATATCAGATGTTGAAAGCGAACGTAAACGGGAAGTTCCGAATGGAAATATATTTGTCGCGTTTTGTTGTGGATATTTTGCAGCCTATCATTTCAGTCGCGTCTTTTCAATCAGCGACAGAAGAGTTTCTTTTAGCTGTGATTTCATTTCTGCTGCACCAAACAATAAAGACAGTTCGACAATGAAGCCTGTCGTTTCAGAAGCTGATTTCTGGTTGGCCTAAGACCCAAGCATCACCCAATAGAGACGGAAACGGGTATCGAATCCGACTAAAATATCTCTGTCCAACTCGGCAATAAGTTGACACTAAGTAGCTCTCAACGTGAAAGAACTTAGCTTTGAAATTATTATTGAAACATATTATTCCCAGTAAATCATTGCTGAATGAAGATACTCGCAATGTGTTATATGCATTATTCTTAATAATTGTGTGAATGGCAAATACTCGTACATCTGTATTTTACGTAACGTATATGTTAATGTTTCAGGTGTTGAGCCGATGGGACTATTATGGTCAATGACCCCATCTAAGGATAAGGGGGCGAAACGACTGCTTATAAAAGATGTCACCAGGCCGTATGACGTCACCATGTCAGTCCACGCAGATCACATGGACTTGGAAGCTATCAAGTCTGCGAACAACATCTCAACTGTTCTCGATACACAGCACGTGAGACGATGGTACTTGCGGAATGGAGTACAGAGAATTCCTGTACGCAAGGGCCGCTTACGAGGAACCTTATTTATTCCTTCAGGTATACTGAACCTGCAATGATAGGATATATAGTTGTAATCCCGTGTTTTTCATAACAATTGACTTGCCTTTGCGTGTGTTTGTGACGGTTGCCAAAGATGTAGCAAGATTCGCACACCTTTTCGCGAACACCCGGTTTCACCACTATTTGATAATGATTCACAAACACGTGCTTATGACAAAATTATTTTCTAATCCTTGGACTCAAGGTTGCAGTTTTACAACCTTGTAAAACTGCTGGTATTATATTAACATCTTGGTACTATTTCCAAGGATGATCAAAGCCGCGGTTAGGGAGCAACTATGCATTTCATTTTCAAGTTTGGGAAAGCGTCTAAAACAATAACCAAGCCCCAGATTTCATTTGCCGGAACAGGAAATAGTCACTGGGGGCTAAGTCTGGGCTGTAGGGTGGGTGATTTGACTGTACAGCCCAGACTTAGCCCCCAATGACTATTTCCTTTTCCGGCAAATGAAATCTGCCCTACGTGGAAGACGCTTCCAGGATGACGAGAACATAAAGGCTGCCACAGAGGCGTGGTTAGACGGCCAATCTGCGGATTTCTATAAAGTGGTATTAAAAGCTTGAAGGACAAATGGAAGAAGTGTATTGAGGTGAATGGAGATTATATTGAAAAGAAAAGTGCACAAAATATTCTGCGTCTTGGTCATATATTGAAGTTGCAAAACGTATTGAACGCCCCTCGTATGTTTTTATGAAAATGAGGTTTGAGGTTTCAAAAGAAACCAGATATCAAACTAAAACACACACTAAGACACACGTACGCACAAACAAACAAACAAACAAACAGACACACTGAAAAGCAACATGGTTGCACCTAATATGTTTCAATGTGACATCCAGGTGTGGCGCCATACCCTGCCGTCCTTGATATGTTTGGTGGTTCTGGTGGGCTGTTTGAGTTCCGGGCGGCGCTTCTCGCCTCCAGAGGGTTCCTCACGTTCGCTTTGGCCTATCTTGCTTTTGATGGACTTCCCCGGAACTTCGATGAACTTGACTTTGACTATTTCATGGTACGTATACAGCATTAGAAACTATCAGACATTTGGATATTGTAGGCTGTACTCAAAGACAGATTCTTTAAAGTGTCAGTGTCAATGCTTATGCATTTTAATTTTAAGGGTGTTTATTACCCAGATTGTTCCACAAGTATTTTAAACATGATATCACAAGTATTTTAAACATGATATCACAAGTATTTTAAACATGATATCACAAGAATGCCTTGAAAACCGAATATATAAGATGTTACCGCAGAAGACGTTCGCTTTGGTTATTTGTTTAATCTGCAACTACTAAAAACTATGTATCGTTAACGAACTATGTATCATTATCCGGTACGTAGGGATTGTATCACAGGCGTTGGTACAAATATCTTGATCCGTTTCCTGCCTTCTTATTTAGGAAGCAGTAGAAATGCTGAGTGGGCACCTCCTTGCCCTACCTGGAGGGATTGGGGTCATTGGTTCGTCTTTTGGAGGTGGACTGACGAATATGCTGGCATCCTTTTGTGACAAGGTAGGAACGTGTATCAGCTAAGTAGATCAGCAATAAGTTGATTAAAAACGGTTAGTGAGTGATGAGGGCTTAACGTCACTTAGACCGCCTCCGTGGTCTAGTGTTAGAGCGTAAGGTCCGGGGTTCGATCCCCGGCCGCGTCAAATCAAATGACGTTAAAAGATGGTACTTGTTGTTACCCTGTCTCGCACTCGGCATAAAGGGGCTAAAACAAGGACTGGTCGCCTCGGAGTCAGTATACTGTGTCTGAGTGGGGTATTCATGTTTAACTGCGGCATGGTATCTGAGTGAGCTGGCACTATAAATCGGCATTAGTTCGGACTTGTAAAAGCAGTCCCCACCCACACACGTGCATGCAAGCCGCTATATAAGTGCAATAATCTTGGACGCGACGTTAAACCCAATTTCACCTCACCTCACCTTAACGTCACTTTGAAAGGTACCTCAAACACTATTTTTTTAAGCAATTATGTGACTGGTTAGTGCTTCCGGTATGGCAGGACTTACTTCGCGAACACCTGGTGTCATCACTGATTTTCAGTGATCCATTCATATCTTTTTCACGGCTGTTTTGTCTTTTAAGCCCAATAGAATCTGCTTCAAAATATGTGAATTCTAATTTGATCTTTTCGCTTGTCCTGACTTCTGTATCAGCTTCTGTATCAAGACAAGTAATTCGATTACCCACAAACTGCAGAACATGTGGAATAGTGTAGAAAGAATGGTGACCTCAGGTCCAGAATAACCTTTGTATGCCGACAAGGACGCTAATCGCATGAGGGTTTTGATCCTTCCCAGACTAAGATTGCAGAAAGTACCTCATGAAATCAAATGATCAGTATTCCAATAACATTCAAAATGTTTTCTAAAGCTTATTTGTGTCATGAATGACTGTTTTGAGCATAAAGTTCTCTACCTTTGAGGCTGTTACATTTTACTAAATGACTAACTGAATTATAGAGAAGATAGTATTATACATATTACACGCATGTATTATGTGGAATTTACCATTATAAGTGTTTATGTCTAGTCTGTGAGTTGAATGATATTTAGAACGATGAATCTCCACGTGAAGAAAACATGATTATCCAAAATGGAACCAGGATTTCACGAAAGTAATATTTGTAGGCAAAAATAAATACTAGTAGATGATGCCATGACGATCTTTAGGGCATCTTCCCGTGGCAAGAGCCTCTACTAGCCTTTTTATCAAAGTCTTGTTTCCACCCTTACCACATCAAGCCTACTTTCCTGTGCTAAATATGATTGGACTATAGCACATATCAATAGTCCAATCAGAGAACGTTTCACAAAATCAACATCCACGACTGGTACACCTTTGTATGAAAGTTATTTACCGCTGCCTGTCTTTGTTGACACGAATGTGCCTTTTTCATCTTTTAAACCCCCCAACGATTGCCTATGTTTTTGTGTCGGGGATAAAATCGCGAATGTTTTCGTTATCTGATCGACTAGGTCGTCGCCTACTATGGTAGTCGCCATCTTTGTGAAGTTATTCGAGATAAGAACAGCGATCTGATTGGATATCGCGTTTTCATTACAAGGTGCACAACTCCTGGTCTCCGCGAGGTGGCGCCAGGATCGAGCCAAGAAATGTTGCCTTGATGTGGGAACGGTAGAAACTAGGCTTTCATATAGGCCAGTGGACACGCTTGCCTCGGGAAGATGTCTTTAGGGTGGTTATTAAGAGTTTCATAACGGCTTTCCATAAAATGACAATCTGTTGTAGTAAAGATATTTCCAGGTTAAAGCAGCGGTAGTGATCAATGGGCCTCCGACGTCTCCCCTCCGAGACCAAGACGTGAATGGAGAAAGAATTATTGGACACATGTACGTGTTTGCCACGAAATAGAACAATTGTAAATATCCCATTGTATGCTACACAACTGTAGCATGGTTTTGAAGGCCTTTGGCAATGTCAGAGATATCATTTCAAGTATATATTTTTTATCTCCAAGAACACACAGACAATAATCTCGTTTGTAAAGTACAACCTTACGGAAATTACATTCCCCTTTAATAAATGTTTCGTTTCATTTGCTTGAAATACCAATGGGAGCGGTGGGGTAGCCTGGTTGTCAAACCACTAGTTCGTCACGCGGTTGTCATAGGTACAATGTGTAACCATTCCTACTGTAATATGGATGATATGCTGCTAAAGGCGGAATAAAAAAACAAACTCACTCACTGACAATGCAATCTGAGGACATGTTTAAAGACAATCATTTTATTATGATATTGGATATGTTTCAGACCGAGGTGGAATGAACTGTCTGGTGACATCATTTTAAATTACGATCACAGCGATGTTCTTCCAGTAAGTAAACTCCATACAGACACTCTGGTAGAGGGTTAAAAGTCCAGTTCATGCAGCCTGTTCATATGAGTATGTAACATGACACGGGTAATATGTTGAGATATGAAACAATGCAGTGTAGCTGCCTGATACATACAGCAATGATCCAATTATCAGTTTTCTCTTTCTGTCAAGCAATATTCCAACAACACCGTCCTTTAGTGTCTACATATCGCAACTTCTGAGGTACAATCAAGTATGCCCTTTTTTCGAAGATTTCAACGAACACTATATATCTCTTGCGCGAACGTTATTTGATCAGGGTTGCAGCATGTAGGGCCTTAGTAAGGCTCAGGACAAATGCATAGAAATTCAAACTGATGACAAGTTCTGTACCAAAAATATGTGACAAGAGGGATGATTTTGATTTTCCGTTCGGGAATTGTCCCTGCATGTCGAGACCCGTGACGACCCTTGGTAGAATTGGTCTTCACCTACACATGCTTGCCGTAAAAGGCGACTATGCTTGTCGTAATTATAAGAGGCGACGGGATCGGGTGGTCAGGCTCGCTGACTTGGTTGATGCATGTCATCGATCCTAATTGCGTGGATCGATGTTCATGATATCTTATCACTGGATTGTCTGCTCCAGACTCGATTATTTACATACCGCCGTCATACAGCTGGAATATTGCTGAGTGCGGCGTTAAACAAACAAACAAACATATGTATAAAGAAAGAGGCCATCAAGAGGAGGAGGAGAACTGGTTACAATGGAGATGACTACGTCATGCCTAAATGTCTTATCCCCAACTGTGGACTACATAATCATGCGCGCACTATTTGTTATGTCTGTAGATGTGGCGACAAGGAGCTAAGATACTGCATTTGGTCAGTGAAGATGACCAGGTTCTACCTTCCTCAGCGTACAGGTCCTTAATGCAGAAGATACCAGGAGATAAGAAACACAACATTCAGAGCGTATTCTATCCCGGAGCTGGTCATCTTCTAGAGCCACCCTTTGCCCCGCTGTGTAGAGAATCCTCTATTAAGATAGGAAATGGTAAGTTGGTTTTCCATTCTCTGTGAAACCACAGACACATAAACTTCATCACAGCGAGTGTGTCAGTGTAGCTTAACGCCGCAGGTAACAACATTCCAGCTGAATCAGGGCGTCCTGTAAATGATCAAGTCTCGAATGGGAGAACTCGTGACAAAGCATGACTGTCTACCCACGCAATCTGATTATGATGACATCCAACCAGCTCGATCCCATGGAGTGGTCTCTGCTTGGAACTATTCTAACACAGGTACCCGCCGGGGCATGTCCTTATTGGGTAGTATATTTAGAAAATTAAAGTTGAGACACCAAAAATAGGGACATGTGGATTTCAACGTTTATTGTTTCACTATGAACTTTGGGCTCAGACGTCGAAGTGAAAGAATAAATATTCATAAGAGATTTAGTCAAACCCTTGATATTTTGATAACATTGAATGCCATTTAAAGGTTGTGGACTTTCTAAGTTTCATCTAATTAAATTAAAAGTAGAGGTGCAGTAGAATTGCCTTCTATCAGTAAATGAGTGTATTGTTATTGTCGACCACAAACCGCAAATGGTGAAATGAAATATGGTGTTATACACCTACATGTTATTTTTACCCTGTCAAACAGTGTGCTCTCCCCCTCGGGATACTGCCAAAATCAGCTGAAGACCGTTTCTCATCTTCCGCCAACCTGAAGTTTCATTCCGACGTGAACTAAAAAAACATTATACCTTAATTTTCACCGCCGCTGTGGAAAATAATGACCCGGTGTGATACAAAAAATACTACTATCATTACTCACTCATTAAAACCCAGATCAGCTTTATCTTTTTATAACTATTTTTTTTATTAAAAATTTGTTTCCGAAGCAAAGCGACTTGATCTACGTCATACATTAATTTAAAAACTGGTAGCAAGTGTTTTAAACTTTAAAATGTCACAAAACATGTTACAGAATTCGGGAAAAATAGCTTGCTGGTTGGAGAGGAGAAACACAGATGTAATGACAGAAAGTACCAAGAGATATGATAATCCCATGTTACACCGGTGTGTGTGTGTGTGTGTGTGTGGGTGTGTGTGTGTGAATGGGGGTTTGGGGGTTTGGGGGGGGGGGGGGACGCTTTGGTTGCAGATACAAGAACGTTCTAAAATAATATTTAATTTATCGGTGCCAGCTTTAACTAAAAATATGCACATGCAATCTGACACTGTTGTGACAATGTTTTATCTTGCAATGAGTCGGAGATCATGAGGACTACCTGGACATTGTTCTAGATACAATTAACAATTGGATGTAAAGGTTTATATCTTTTAACAGATACCCTCGTAATTTGGGGCGGAGATATGCAGAGCCATGCTGTCGCCCAGGAGAACTCATGGAAAAGAATTCTGGAACATTTGAACACTCATCTTTCAAGAATAAGTATGTGATGGAATGAAGCGCACAGCAGCCCCACTCTACAATAAACAGTATTTGACTCGCTACTCAAGTTGTCTGTTCGACATTAGCTTCATATGCAATCTCATGAACAACCTACATACATCTATGCAGTTCCGTGGATACTATACACGCTCATGGGCCATGAATGGGGCTAGGGCTATGCCATTCGTATCCACGGACATAACCTTCTGTCAGCATACTGTCACGGAGCTGTGCTGGGTAATACAGAAAATGTGGTAAAAGGTTTATTTCGAGCAGCTAATTGTACCAATAGATGAAAATAAAAAGGATTAAAACAACTAAATCAATACTGACAATGATCCCTGATTAAATACTAGTAAATCAGAGCAAATACACAAGAGGCTTAGCTAAGCAATTATATAACTAATAAATTCAGAGTAGCTAAAACAACACTTTGACAAGATATTGACAAGATGCGTAGACAGCCGATTAAGTCGGCTGTGACCAATTAACACCTGAGTTAATTAACTCAACACTCTAATGAGTGAAAAACCTCGACGAGGTAAATAGCGGGAAATAAACACAGCGCTTGGACAATAACATAGACGAGGACGTCTGAATATCAAACAAGTCTAATAGACTAAAGATTCAGCAACTTTGACTGAGCAAAATGCTACACAGTCACGGAAATTTAGGTCACCTCACCTCTTAATACAACTGAAAATGATGTGTTCGATTTTGCAGCCCTTATACCTTTCCCCAAATCGTAAACAATACGTAAGAATACGTAAAGTATACGTATCTATTCCCAAAGTCCTCGTAACTACACGTAAAGTGCTCGCAATAATTCGTAACAATCCGTAAAGCCATCGTAACACGACCCGAATTATATCGTAAACAAAACGTAAGCAGTCGTAATAATCCGTAAATAATCCGTAAACAAATCTTAAACTAACCGTAACAAATCGTAAAAAATAAGTGTTACGAGTCATTTACGGATTCTTGCGAGCAGTTTACGGATGGTTACGTGTTGTTGCGAGCGGTTTACGACACTTACGGATTGTTACGAGTTATTTACGAAAAAATCAATCCGTTGATAATCGTAAGATGATTTTTGACATGTCAAAAAAATTGCCTCTCCTTCCACGGATCCTTAAGAGTGTCTGCGAGTTGTTGCGAGTAGTGACGAGTTATTTACGGATACCAGCGAGTTATTTACGGATGCTTGCGATTGACTACGAGTTGGTGATCCGTAAGGACTCGTAAGAAAAATCCGTGTATGTGAAGGGGGTATCAAGTAAAAATCTTTTCCTGTAAATACTTATGTCTATGAGAGCTAAAATAAGGACATTTAGATACAGTGAAATTTATCTACAATTGATGGAGAGGTCGCACAGACCTGCCTCACGGGGCAGATCACCCATCTGCCGGTCTCTCATTGGTAAATTATGATTTGAGGTTCGATATTTAAGTAAAGGCATTGACATGTGGTGGGACCCCTGAAGATCTGGGGTAGAACAGGTCTTCGGAAACCCATGTTTTCCGTTAGAGGCGACTGTCGGGATTGGGTGGTCAGGCTCGCTGACATGGTTAATGCATGTCATCGTATCCCAATTGCGCAGATCGTTCTCATGATGTCAATCACTGTATTGTCTTGTCCAGACTCGAGTATTCACAGACCGCCGTCATCAAGCTGGAGTATTGCTGAGTGCGGCGTTAAACAAACAAACAAACAAACAAACATGTTGCCGGGAAGTATTAAATTATTTTTTTTCAAAATAAGGGGAACCTTAAAATAATGCATGCAGTCATCCCTTGGAACTAGAGGATATTTTTAATGTTTGAATATATTGTACTAACACCATGAAAAAACCTTTTTACAAGATGTTGTCCCTCTGTATTTTTCCTGAATAAATATGGCTGCTGGTGGGCCAACGTTTTGATGTGTGTATGATATTCTTTTCGTGAGAGTAATTAAGTATGAGAGTAATTACGTATGAGAGTAATTAAGTATTGGATTAAACTATGAAGAATGCCTCCGGGTATATATCCAAAGCATTGTCATTTCATGCTGTATAATTTGATGAAAGTTAGGTTATAAAAAATGGGTTTCATTTGTAACATATACATTGTTTAATTATAGCTTTGGTAACGTATGGTTTATGCAAGATGTTGCTTATATTTATACATTTAAGCAAAGAACAAGAAATTTGTTTATGCAACAATGGTCAGATTGTATATCACATTTACCACGGCAAGAATTATATTGCACCTACAAATCCTTACTAAAAATAACATGAAAAATATCAATCATTGATTAAGACTGCAAAGAAGAGGTCTAACACAATTTAGATGTTGTCCGAATGATATATATATATATATATATCATTCGGACAACATCTAAATATATATATAATGTCTGGTGATCATGACTTGGCTGACAGTCTGCAATTTCGGTAATGAAGACTTAGCGTATGAATACCATGCACTATTTATATATCTAGCTTATACTAACTTTAGGCCAAGGTATTTGCCCTTGAATTATTATGAATATCCTACCATGCACAAGTTTGTATCGCTACACACAACAAATGACGACAGCATTCCAGCTAGCTCTTTATCTTGAAAAAATATTAATACAGGACTTGTAGTCTTAAACTCATTCAGGATGGTGTTCTGTTCCGGAGCTGAACTAAACAAAATGTCCCCCTCTCCTTTATGAAACCTTTCACACAAGCAGCTAGGTAGTTTAGTGACTTTTTAATATGATTTTATTTGTTTCCCTTATAAACAACACAGAGTTAGCTCCCTTCTCCAAACCCCACTGATGAGGTTCTCCACGTGTTTTATGTATTTTCTTGCAACTAGGTAGTTTGGTGACTTTTTAATAATTTATTATTTCATTTGTTTCCCTTATATGATTGCCTTAGGCACAATTGTGGTTGATCGTCAGTTCACTCATTCAATATTTACCGATATTTTGCCTTTACGCCCAGTGAAATATGTTTCGACAGATACTCGAGACTGACCATTGTCTGACTTTGACGTTTAATACTAAACTATCTAAATAGGCAGTAATTCGTAACTGACAGCTTAAGCCATAACGATTCAGCAGCAAGTTGTATGCGAGCTGTGAGATGTTGAGAACAGTTTACTATACCTGCATTTACTGTCGCTTGAGACGTATTTATTACAGTAAACTACGTTTATAACGAGTGAGTGAGTATGGTTTTACGCCGCTTCTAGCAATATTTTTAGCAATATCACGGCGGAGGACACCAGAAATGGGCTTCACACATTGTACCCATGTTGGGAATCGAACCCGGGTCTTCGGCGTGACGAGCGAAAGCTTTAACCACAAGGCTACCCCACCGCCCCACGTTTATAACGAACACGCTTATAACGAACTGACGGATATAACGAACTTCTTGTAAGTTTTCATGATTAATGAAAGAAAACGTTAAAAAATGTTATAAAGATGATACTTGTTATCCTGCCTGGCGCTTGGCATTTAGGGAATACATCAAAGACTGGTCGGCTCATATCTACTGTGTCCGAGTAGGATATCAATGTCAAACAGCGGCAAGGTATTTCGGTGGACTAGCACCAGCACTATAAAACAGGCACTAGACCGGACTAGTTCAAGCAAGCACAAACAGAGAGACGCCAAGACGAATGTCAAGAAAACACCACCCCGATGCCAGAGCCAACAACGACTCCAGAAGAACCTACCACAATTGAAGCTACCACCGAGGACCAATGTGACGCAGACACAACACCAGGCCGGAACACAGCTACTCCAGCAACAGCAGCAACAGCAGCACCCACAACTGCTGACCCAACAGCCTGTGTCAACCCTGCCAGAGGTGAAGGGGGCAACGAGAGGTTCCACCTCTCTGCCTCAACACCACCGTCAGTGGCTCCACCTGCATGTTTGAGAACAACTACGTTCGACACTAGAACCGGGATGATAAATGATAATTGAATACAGTGTAACTGGTTTCCTTCTTGATGGAATGTTCTACACCGACTCTGGCACATAACCACAATATAATTAAAATAGTGATAGTATCAGAAGACAGAAATATACTACACAATACCAACACGTGGGCATACCTCAGGGCCACTGATGAGAAAACCTCACCCTCATCCCTTTTAATTAGAGTATAGCTTACGCTAATGTCTTCTGTGATGCAATATGTGGCTTCACAATTTAAACCATAGCTTGGGGACATATATATTTATTAATATTAATAATTACTTTAGAGAGCAGGTGCCTCTTGTCGTATTGCCATGCTATATAAACCTCGGACACTGGTCAGTTGTCATCCTCCTCATGGAATCGGATCCTGGTCCCCACATCACAGGTAAGTGGCTCTTGGTCAAGTTTAACTCATTCATCAATGACATCTGCTTAGTCTGTTTAATCTTATATAGTGATGTTGCTAAAGAAGGCATTCAGCATCCCTATGAATGGTTAGTGTGCAGTGTGAACCACTAAAACAGCAGCCGAAAGTCGCATATGCAGGGTAACTAAATTTAACGGACTTTGCATATTTTAATAACAATTTACTCTGTAACTGGAGTAATTGGATGAGCTGCACAAGAGTGAGTGTGTTGGTGACTGAATTATAGTGATTTTTTGCACTCCTAAGGGACGTAACTGCGCAAAGTGTTAATATTGTTCTTTCTTCATGTCCTTAATCTCTAAAATTTCCAGAATATGGATGTTCTACTTTGAAACAAATACCGTAAATGTACCGATTAAACACTTGCTTTGATGTTTCTTTCAGAACAGTAACACTCTCCGTGTGACAGGATGAATTTCTGCCTAATACAGCTAGGTAAGTTATCGCCGTCTTGAAAATGAATTCTCAACTATAATCGGGAGCTGGTATATAGAGAATAGTTTTTGACATGACGACGTCAAGGAGTCTTAAACACGACAAACGTGTACACGGATCGCGAAAAGTGCATATGAAGGACTGAGCAGGTTGCAATTTCAAATGTTGAAAAGCCAAATTCATACTGTATAATTTTCGTTTGCGTTGTGTTTTTATTCATCGCAATAAAACACAAAA